TGTGAGCATCAGCCTCTGCAGAGGTGCCTAAAGAAGGAAAAGTTCCCTGTGATTTACTGATGTGCTGAACAGTAACACTTTGCTGAAAGTACCTGTTTCTTTAATAAAAAATATATATTTTTTGAACTAGAAAAAGGCAGGTTTTCTTCTTGAAGCACTTCCACCACTGAAAGTGTTAAGGTGAAAATTAAAGCACATTAAACTACTTTTGCACAATAAATCAGAAAGGAGGAACAGCGTGAGGCATAACCATGACACACTGATAGTGAGTCAGGCTTTTTTAGATGTAGACTTCAAAAAAGAGCAAGAAGGATTTTTAAGAAATGGAGTAAAGCAATCTATTCTCAATTCCTGCCCTCAGACGTGTTAAATAATTCAGGGTCTGACTCTTCCCTTACAGGGGACGGACACGACCCGTGCATCCCCACACAAGGTGGCATTTTTGCAAAGCCCTGAAAACTCTCGCTCATTTTAATTGAAAAATTATCCCACAACGCCGGGGTCTCTAATGATTTTCACATCACATAAACACAGTTTATGGAGAAATAGTTGCTAGAAACCCAAGTCAGGAAGCACCCAAGCTCTCGTGGTCAACCTGCTGCTGCCCAGGTGGGTTTGACATCTGGCTTTGGGCACTTGCTGGTGCTCCCGTGGATGGGGCTGGCCATGGGTCGGCCTTGGAGAACAGACCCCAGCATATTGCACCCCAAGAAAAATTTAACTACACCAGTAAACATAGAAAATATCCCGTCTCTCTCTCCAGAGGGGCTCACATTAGTGTTTAAATTCACTTTCCCTTGTCTTCCCAGTATAATCTTGTTGCTGCAGCTAAAATCTGGGATTTTTTTTAATCAAACTTGGTATTTTAAAACAAGGACTGTCACGGCCCAGTTCTTTAATAAACCCCACCGATATGGATCCTTCAATCCCTTGTAGTGTTCAGGGAAATCTGCGCTCACAGATCCTATTGCAGGGCAGGGGACTCAAAGGCTAATCTCTCTCTATACTGTTCTTTTTCCTAGTTGCACGGGGAGAAAAATGTGAGAAAACATGTAATTCCAGGGTACTGTGGCAGCATTAAACCACAGCTTCGTACCCCATATATTGCCTTTATTAACCATAACCTTGCAGAGGGTATTAAGGCAAATGGTAAATGGTTTAATGGCAGTTTAATATTCTGCACATACCCATAACAGACATTTTAGTTGCTTTTAATTGATGTAGCTGCTAGCTTTGTTAAACTCTCCAGGAGAGTAGTTCTCACTGGGAACGAGCTTCCTAGAAAGTATCAGTTTGCAAAAACACAATAGTTTGAGCGATAATTGTGCAGAAAGAGGCTTCTGGATTTCTTTGCAGTTGAATAAGAGCGTTTTGTTTCACTTTTGTATAACTCAACATTGGGTGCCTAAATTATAGTCAAACTTTCCAAACAGCTAAATAAAGAAATACATGGGTTAAGTCACTTTTAAGATAAAATGGCAACTGGAAGATTTTAGTCAAACAGAACAATTTTACAGCTGTGAGCACATTAAAAAAAAAAAGATGTAGGAGAAGTCCTGGCGTTACTTAAACAGTAGCTTTCAGCACTCATAAAAGATGTGGTATTAAATTATTTTCCACTTATAAATCAACTGGCCCTGGTCTATACATTAGCACAAGCTTTAGCTGGTTTCTGACTTCTTACTGGTCTTTGCATAACTCCATCTAACCCCGAATGAAATGCTGCTGGCATGGCACTGAACCCCAACTATCGCAACTGAAAATATATATATAACCAGAAAGAGCACATAGAAAATGATGGCAATCAGCAAAGAAAATTAAAGGGCTCTCCAATTAAAAAAACCTCTATTATTCCATTGGTCCAACCGGCAACCGCACCTCCTGTTTGGGGGGGATAAAAAAAAAAGGGTAGTCTCCTTGAAAATTAACTTTTAGATTTTTTTAAGCTTGTAAAAATAGTAGAGGATCTGAAGGTGTGTCTCAGCAGGTTTTGCCTGCCCGTCTAGCGCTGAGACTTTTTGCGTGATCAAAGAATACATGACAGCGAACGGATCTATGCTTGTAAATATCAAACAGTTTGATCATGCTAAAAGACTTTATTGAAGTTTCCCACTTTTTAACCAAAAAAGAAACATCCATCTCCAGTACCCACAGAAAAGGGGCTAGTATGATATTAGAATGAAAAAAAGTACTAAATGTGACTTACGGATAAGGGGTTTTCTTCCTATAATATGAGACTTCCATTAATGTCATGTTTGTAGGCTGAGAGGAAACTGCAACCCTTATAATTTTACCATAGCACAGTATAAAAAGGGTTTGATTACACCAATATTAATAAGTCCGCAACGGGCCACAAGAAATAAGCCACGTTCACGTACGCAGCCTTCTAAAACGGAATTAAATGCATAATAATGAAATGAATACACCACTGGCTTCCCGCCCCCCCCTCCTGCTTTACGGTGAAATCCACAGCATCAAAATCTGCAACTGGCCCGTGGAGAGGTTTTCTATACTATTTCTGTCGCTTAGTATGATAATTTGCGCCCCCCCCCCCAAAAGTTAAAAATGCCATTCTGAATGAACTCATGGAGCTCTGAATAAAAAGAGCCAATAATTTACAGTAAGATGATAAGAGTTTAATATTGCTTTAATATAACGTATTAATGAAAATTGCCATTGTAAGATAGATAAGACTTAATAATACAACTCTCATTGTGTTCTGTGAGTTGGAGGCTTTGGTAAGTTACATGTTAGTGCTGCGTGGCTGGCGTGAATCCTGACACAATTTCGAAGGCTTGCCGTTTCCAGTGCCACCAGAGCCTGAATTTATTTTCCCTGGAAAAATCCAGGCAGGCACTTTCCTGTTCTTTCAGGTATTACTGTGCTCCTCTGCCAGCTCCTGACTGCCGCAGAGTTAATGGAAATATTTTCATTATTTTTAATGCAATTTAATACATTTATTTTCATCCCACTTTATACGTAGAGCGAATCAGCTTAAAAAAAAGTCTCTGTGGCTTTTTTTAGTCTTTATTCTTTAACATACTGACATTTTTTAAATGGGCAATGGGGCGATGCGGGGAATGGCAGATTAATTTCTTGCCCTTATTTTTATGCCAGTGTAGCTCAGCATCGCTCTGTAGTGTTCCTGCCACTTTTGCAAGCATCTTATATTTGCAACAATGAGGGCTTATACTTCTGTTTATTAAACGGCAGCTTGTTTATCTGTGCTAATTGCCAGGAAGAAAATGAAACTTCTTGCCTCTCTGTGGACCACTATTTATAGTTAGGAAGAGCAGCCCTGCATGTATGCAGGGGGGTATTTGTGTGAATGAGGCTAACGTGCGGTTACAGCAATCTCTTCTGCCAGAAGTGAGGAAATCGGTTTGTTGATGTAAGCAGTCTGGATGAGCACACAGCGTGGGTTTTAAACCCAAAATGTGATTTCAAAGGGGAAAAAAAAAAGCTTTTGAGCAGATCCATGAAAAAAAAAAAAGATATTTTTAACAGCATGGGCTTTGATATGAATATTTTGCGTACACCTTTGGCAAATATTTTTGTGGTATTACTGAAGACGCACAAACCTGCAATTTGTTCTCCAAAAGGGTTAGAGGCTGCTATGAGGGGAGCCAAGGAGGAGAGGGGATTTATCCCAATCTCCTCTTCTCTGAGAAAATCTCTCTGGAAGATGATGATTTTTCTACATTATCCCACAGACCCTTCTGGGTTTTGTTTCTGAAATGCCCAGAAAGTTTTCCTGTACAAGTCCCGCTACCAGAAATCCTGCCGTCCATTTTGGAGGAAGTACGTTGTTTTCAAAATAATTTGTTACTCGGTGTGTCTGCCCTTCTGGCATGACAGAGAGTAGCTCCGTCATGGCAGATATAACAAATAAGAAATATTTGTAAAAAAATCAAACTGTTCTGGAAAGTTTATTTTTTGGAAATTATTTGTCTGCACAAATAGAGAACTTTCTGTCGTTACAGACGGAGTTCTCCAGTGCTCTGGACTATGCTTTTTCAATAAGTATTAAAAATACACCGATGCTTTAAAGTACACAAACTTATTTCTATGAACTTCTAGTGAGTCAGCTTTCACCAACTTCTAGTACTTTTTATGGGCTCTGTTTCTTACATCCCAAATAATGCTTACAGCCTTTAAATCTCAAAAACACACACCAATGTTTACAAGCGTTGATTCTGAGATAAATATTTTCATGCATGTTCTATCACTAAAGGCAGCAGGTTGAGGAAGGATAATTCAACATCATTTACAGTCTCATAGTACTTAGTGGCTTAAGTGATGTGCTTTTTAGATTCAGAAATTAATATAAAGTTAAAAAAACCCAACACTGAAAACGAGGGCAACAAATAGAGGAATGGAGGAAGATTTTAAATAAGCTATAATTAAATTTTGGAAGCATTTTCTTACTTTGTCAAGATTGAAGAGAGGCCTTGCTTATTTGAAATTATATATTTTACAGAGAAAGAAGACATTCATAAAATACATCCTCCCTAGTAGGTGATGGCGGTGGGCTGGCCAGTCCTTCTAAGGACAACTCTTGTCTGATGGCAACGAAGAGTTCATCTAAAAATGAACGGCACATTTCTAAACCTGCACTTTCACGGCTCACAGTTCAGCTTAGTGGCTGCAATTAGCAATTAGATGGGAGAAACAAATGCCTGTATTTTGTTGCAAGAGGGTTAGTTTCATTTCTGACTTGGAAATGACAGTGCAGACACATAAGGAGCAAAAAATCATGTAACACCAGGAGGAAAACACACCGCGTTAGCTGGGATGCTCAAATTATGCTGCATTAATATGCACAAAGGAATTAAAAGAACTAAAAGCCTTTAAAAAAGGGGTGTTTTTTAAAAAGTCATGTAGTGTCATTGCTTATTCAACAACAGCCCACTTCTCCTCCAAAGCAGTACGCTGGGTTTGAAAAAAAACCCAACCCCACACCGCTGTAGAGAGAGCACATGTTACATCAGACACAGTACCTGATTTTTCACTGCACAGCTTGTCAGCTAGATAGTCTGCCTCTTGGGCGATAAGTGAGAATATTTCATCTTCATACTCTTCTACGATACTTTCCCACTGTAAGGATGAAAAAAAGGAGGATACTCGTACTGTGCTTTTTTTTTTTTTTTACCTAGAAATAAGCAAGGCGGTTGTGGTGCTGCGGCGAGGAGCTCCCGGCTCGCTCCGCTCCCTCTGCCCTACGCAGCGCAGGGATGAATGGGGGCTGCCTGAGAATTAATGCTACCAAATATTACTTAAACTTTATGCCCAGCCTCACTCTTGTTTTACAACCACATTCACGGGTTGGGGGGAAAACCCTTCCAAAAGGCATTTCACTTGGTTAGGGACCCCCCACCCCCCTTTTAACATGGACTCAGCGAGGAGGCACTCGAAACTTAAATAAAACAAGCCCAATTTGTATTCTGATATTAGTGGTCACGATGTGCAATAAATACAGCTCCCTGACCATGCAGATGCAGCTCTGGTTTCACTATAGATAGAGCAGTCGCCAGCAATGAGCTGCCGAGCCCCCCCCTCCCCCAGTATTAAGGGAGCTGCTAGTAATTCCCCTCGGTGCCACAAAATGGGTCTCTGACCCCCTGGGAAGGGTGGAGGAGCATGGCTCTGAGGGGGTGCACCATCCAGCCTGGCGTCTGGCACCTTTTAGGAAGCCTGGGTGCATGTTAAGAGGCAATTCCTGTCCCCCAAAATCCAGACTTCAACCCATAAACAAGGGGTAGCCCTTTAACATGGGTGGAGAAAAAACATACTGAAATAAAATCTGCTTGCTGGAAGTCGTGCTCAGTACACACACACACAAAAAGGCCCTTTGCTGTGCTTTGCTAAAAAACGTCAAATCAGTATCTGCCAGGACATGCAATAACCCCGAGCTGGCGGTGACCGAGGCAGAGCTGCTGCCTGTGCTCCTCGCCGGGAGCTCCGGCCCTCCGAGCGTGCACGCTGGCTCGCTTGCCTGCCTCTTTCAAGTCTCCAACTGCTTGAAAGGCCACGGCCAGCACAACCCCATGGCTTTTTTTGGGGTCTTCGGGTTGTTTTTTTTTTTTTGCACGCTTTCCATGAGAGCTAAAAAAAAGACGACCGCAAAAGCATTAAAAAAATATACATATATTTGAAGAAGGTGCTGGCATGAAGCCAGGCAGATCACCTCAGCGTTTTTAGCAGAATTAGCTGAGAAAAATCCATCCCTACGCCACGAGGCCTAAGAAAAAAAAGATGACAACCCTCCCCTCCTCCTCTAATTTGTCCATAAATATTTGAAACTACTTTAGTAGCAATCTGGATTTTTAGCCACTAGTACAATTCCCTTATTTCCCACACATAAATCAACAGAGATCTTTTTCTGGGAAACGCTGATTTATATTTAATCACTTAGAAAAAAATTCCCCAAATAAAATGTAGTTTTGAACTGTTGGAGTTTAGGAAATTTGTAACGTATAAAGCATCTGGTATAATCCGTGGGTTACTTCTGCAAGTGACGTGCCTTTTGTAAGTGCTTTATTCATATTTATGAAGCCCTAAATAGATCCAAATACGTTTCTAAATAATGTTATAAAGCATCTGACAAAACGCAGTGTTATCTCCAAATACTCAGCTGGTTTCTGCGAGGAGCCAGCACAGAGTAGGTTAAAGTATGGCAAGAATCTTAAAACAAGGCACGATCTGTATGAATTTCCTAGTGATGAGAAAGAGTGGGCACACTGACACAGCTTTTGCTGGAAAATAAAAGGTTACTCATTCGTTATGTTGGCTTACTGCAAATTTCAACGGTTTGTAAGCATCAGATTAAACCCCCAATTTTTTTTTAAAGTCTGCGTAGATTTTTCTCTTCTTGCCTAGGAGCAAATCTCTCCCATCTCCTTTTCTGTCCCAACAACTCTGTTAAGTTGCTCTCTGACTTTGCTAAAGGAACCTCATGGAGGCAAAAATTGACTTTTTTTGCTTATTATATTACGAACCCCCCCCACTTCATACAGATAATGCCTAGTTAGATCGCGGAAAGAGAAAAAGAGCATCCCTCTCGCTATGTAGAACTGTTGACACATTACATTACACACGTAATTAAAAACGTCAGCTCCAGCTAAGGTGGCCCTGGAGAACCTGCGCAGACCCTTCCAGCTCACACCCAACGCGCCCCTCGCACCCCTCGCCCTCCTCCAGAAGCCAGTCGCCCGGTTTGAAACCTCCCGGCAGCCCGAAGAGACCGCGGCGAAGGGAGACGGCCGCTGGCGGCGGATGTTTCGGGCCATGAAAGCCCTTGGCGCTCCAGCCACTTGTTTCTCTAGTTGAAGCGGAGTTTGCAAAAGTCCCGGGCTTTCAGTTGTTGCTCTGTCTTTTAGCCGCTGCTCGCCAGCTCAGATGCAGCTGTTTAATACCTCCCAGGGGTTTTGTGCGGAAAATAATAGCTTACAAAACCTAGCTTCTCCCAGGTTCTACTATTTCAGCTTTATTTCCGAACAGCTGGTCCGTGTCTTTGTCCATCCCCTTCCCTCCCGGCCGCGGCGAGAATTTGGCAGGAAACCTCCGGCCGCTACCTACGCCCCGAGAGCCACCACCGCTGGCGGTGGGGGTCAAAGAGCAACCCTCGCCCTTGGAAACGGGGACAAAAAAAAAAACCCCAAACTTCGCGCCCCGTCTAGACAGGTCAAGGTGCAAGATGCTCCTCTCCCTGTTGCGTCTTCCGGAAAGGGGCGTGAACCGGAGCCAAGTGCACAGCAAACACCCGCGCCGCATCCCTGCCCCTTTAGAAGACTTCTTTTTTTTTTTCTTCTTCTTCTTTTTCTCTCCACCCTCTGCTGATCAAAGTAGGAAGTTTTCATGACAACCATAGTCAAAGGGCCTGCATCGCAAATGAACTCGATTTCGGCGATGTTGATATATCCCGGCTCCATTGTCTCTTTTCAGACACAGTATGAACCCTTCCGGTCTCAATGATTACATTACAGAAGGACTTTCACATGTGGGCTTCATTTGCACAAAGGGGTTGCCTTGCTTCACCACCATCTGGCCACAAATCAGATAAATAAAGGCAGGAGAATTAAAATTAAAGCTTAGAGGGGTTTTTTTCTCTCTCTCCCCCTTCGTCTTCTTCTTGCGCCGGGGCCCATTATGAAATTCCTCCCTCCCCCAGTCACATTCTGGATGGAGAGACTACTTTTTATGGAACCTGGGAAAAGCAAAAAAAGTGCCTAAAAAAAAGACCAGAAAAAAAAAAGACAAAAAAAAAAAGGCTGGGAAAAGCAAAAAAAGGCCAAAAAAAAAAAGGACAAAAAAAAAAAAAAGAAAAAGACTGCAGTCTTTCACTCCCAACCCTGTTTGGAGGGCAGCGTCACCTATTTTTACAGCAAAGACAGGCTCGTACAAAACCACAATCTGCTATCAAAAGTCAGTCTCATCCACTGGCATGCAAATATTTTTTTTCAGGAAAACACAATGTCTCACAAGCCAAAAAAAAAAAGCTGGTGGAGGCGGAAGGCGGTGGCAGAAGTTGTGTTCGAAACTTGTGCTCCAAACTCCGCTGCTTCTTCCTCCCGTCGGGGTGGGGAGTGCAGAGGCTCAGGCAGCACTCGGCACACGGCAACCGCTTTCCCCCCCCTCCAAAAAAAGAAATACGTGGCAGTTTCTGAAGGTAGAAAATAAAATAACCTGCAAGCGCGGGAGGAAGGTTTTACAGCCCTTACGACAGAAGGTGAGATTCAGACTCACAGTCTGATTTCAGCCCTGGCATCACTTCTATTGAGGTCAGTGTTGCTCCGGGAGGGATTTTTTTTTGCAATCTGATTGCTATAGCAATAAATTGGACTAAATTTCATCCCCCTTCTAAGCTACTTCCAGGAAGTAACTTAAGTCAGCTGATGGGGAAAGCCACTTTTCATGGCTGCATTTCTTTACACATAGAGATATTCAGTATCGTAAGAAGAAGGGTTTTACTCTGTGAATTCTGGAAAAAAAAGATTTTCCATGTCTATATTCCAACCGATATTCAGGTATGTAGCCTATCCCCTATTGCCCCTCTGCAGCCCCTTCCCGTGGCTTCCTGGCTGGCCGGGAACACTGTGAGCGTGGCTGAGCCAAAGCCCACAGATGCCACAGGGTACCCTGCCCAAAGACAGGGCACTCGCATCTCCTGAACGCTGTCATGTGCAGCAAAGCCAAGCACCGACCCGGGAGAAAATGCATCCAACGTCTGAAAAAAATAACAAACCCTCAGAATTCGTGTGACAAACCCAGAAATTTACAGGAATGGCTTTGCTGCGTGTACTTTCTTTTGGATGCAGGAGAAAGTTTTTGTACGCGTACTGGCAACTATGTGATGTGGTTCAGGCTGAGCATGGCTTGTATTAGCATCATATTTAGATTTCGGCTGTATTCCCTCTTCCTACAGTAATGAAAATTATTTTAGAGATAGCATATACATAAAGAAGATGAATAAAAACTTAAGATCATAACTTGCCAACAGTTGGATTTGCTAATTTTTTGTTTCTCTTTAATAAATTACACACTGGATGCATAATCTCTAAATAACTTTGTCTTCCCTCGGTTTTTTTGAGTCAGACTCACACTTCGGGTAGCAGCTATTATTATGAGCGTGTTTCTTGTAAACCCGTGGATGCAGAAGTTGCCAAGACAATGTATTAATTTCTGTTGTCCATTTGTTGGGATTTGCCTAGGGAAATTTTTGCAGAAATAAATGCAACTTGAATTTAAACGAAGTATTTTTTGCTGAGCTGTGCTCTGCCCGGGTGTACAGGGCTCTAGGCAGTTGAGAGTGCTCTTTCTGAAAGTGTTTTAATAGTAAGAGAGGAATAAGTATTTGGACAAGTGGTGGAAAACTAAAGCCTTTCTTTCTATACTGTGAAGATTTTGAATAGTACTTGTCAATAAAGCAACTCCTATTGTAATTGTACCGGAGACATGGGCCTCCACCCCGAAAAAGCTGTCTCAGAGATACTAACCTCATTAAAATATGAATGAAAAGGCAGCCATCATTGTAATGGGAGAAAACCATTTACTCGGCAACAAACTTTATGTGCTATCTTTTGTAAAAATATAAATATGATACCCAGCAGATTTTTCATTACATTTGACGAGGAGGTTGAGGAACACGATTATTTTTTTTTTAATTTTCAAATAAGTCACAAAATCTGATCCTTCCCTCCCTGCTTTCTCTACTGAGCATTTCAAAATCGGAAGCACCTTCAAATTATTTGAAATCTTTAAAAAGGAAAAAAAAAGAGGGCTTTGCTTCTTTGGGGCTTTTTTTTAAGGTTGAAGGAAACTTTCGCATTTATTTTTGTGTTTTTTTCCAGAATATCTCATCCAATTTCAAAACAAAACAAGAGAATTCATTACAGACTACTGTGACGACACCCTAATAACAGTCAATTATAGGGTACTCAAATGCCTGTTCATTACTATGTCTCTGTTAATCTACTCCTAAATTTCTTGCTTGATAGATACCACGACCGACCAAGAATACAATTCCATTACAAAGTGCAATGAAAAATATACAAAATGTAACTGCAGGAAGTAGGCAGTTTCAAAATAACCGAACTGTCAATCAAACATTTGTCAAAACAATTAGACATATCTGGACATTTTTTTTTATAAAATATAGACAGACTCGGAATGGATAATATGTGAAGCTTTAGGTTTAAACAGGAATTGTTTCAAAGACTTGGAAATAAGTCTTTTACAATGTTTCATGTAGTTTAATCATTATCTTTTCATCCACAAAAGTGTTCAAATCATTTTTGATATTAGTTAAAAGTCAATATTTAGAAGTGAAAATTCAAACCTCCTTTGCTCTAGGCTAAAACAGGAGCAACATGAATGCTGAGCTACTCTAAAGGCTGATGGGATATATAATTAGCTATTATGTTAATTGAATCCACTGTGAGTTTGTTGTATGAGATTTCTTCATATAATATGCAAATAGCTTCGAAGGTTTAGTTTTATTAGACAATATAATTAGAAATCTTCTAAAGGAGTGAATTCTAATGAGGCATAATAAAGCTTTGTAAAATATGTTTGCTGGGTGAGCAGACCACCTGGGCTTAATCAATACTGGGAACTTTATTGTGTAACAGTATATTTTAAAGAAAGTTTAAGAATTTACCTTTCTAGTTCCATTCATCATAGTTTTATTTTAGGAGAAGGAGAGTTCACTTTAGCAAGGAAGGCGGTGAAATTCTTGTAATAAGGAAGGAGGTGAAATTCTTGTAATCTGAGGGGAGGAAATAACTTCGAAAATAAACGATTTGAATTCTGCTTATTTAAAATAAAATAAAAATAAATAAAAAAAACCCTCTCCCAGCTGTAGCGTCAGTTATGTGCATCTTGAGATGCTTGAAGTGAAACGTTACATGAGCAAAGTTAACCATTATTCCTGCCACTAAATGCCTGCTTCAAGCAGATGTACATACTTTAGCTTCTGTAGTGTAACTAATCAGCGTAACTTCACTTTTAGTAAGATAGCCCAACATGTTAATATGTGGAATTAAGCACTCTCTTCTAAAGGAAGAAATTCACACCAGGGTATTCCGGAGCCGGTCCCGAATTCCACTCTCACATTCCACTTGCTTTAAGACCACCACCAAAGACAAAGCTTAAACTATTTTAGCTAATGCCAGAATGCCAAAAATGTGTAATCTCTCATCTAATTCACCTTGTTCACACTTTAGATTGTGCCAAAGCTGCACTATTCAGTCTTAATATTAATTGAAAATAATAAAGACAGGATATTTTGTGCTAGTGTAGCATTCAGAGAAGGGCATTTTTTTTTTCCCCCGTCGACAATAATCAGTAGCAACATGTTAAGAAAGAATCAGAAGTCCCGATTAAAGCAGTAAATTTAACCAAACCAAAAAAACCACATTATCATGGCAAGTGCCCTGCCAGCCCTGTTGGGGA